GCCACAAAAGGCAGCAGCAGCAGTGTTAAAGGTCTTTCCTGTCCAAGCTGTAAACCAAACTCCACTACGCTCATGGCTGCTTCAGGAGTGGGGCAAAAGGGTGAGAACCAGAAGTTTCTTTCCTGCGGGCATTGCTTGAAGGGCAGAATGGACAGATAAAGAATGAGAATTTCAGGGAAAGGGAGATGGAGATGCAGGAGTGCAATCTCCACAAGAAAGGAGCAGCCTGTATTAGCATAGGTCTCCAGAGAGAAATCCCAGTCCCAGTCAAGCTGCATTGTCACTGAACTCAGAAAGGTTGAGATTTTACCCAGAATTACAGAGACAATATCTGAGTCATTCAGAGCTAAAATAATTACACAGAATTCACTTTATCTCCAAAATCGCATGAGACTACAGGATAGAAGTATTCTACTTTTTTCCTTCTAAATTTATCTATACTTTCTTACAAAAAGTATGAACACTATATAGGAAGGTGCATGATTACAAAAGACATCACAGGGTTAAAAGTGCTTTTCTTCATCTGCTCTCCTACACCCTTCAGAAGCATTCCACGGACTGCATCCCAAAGCTCAGGCTATCACCAGCAAACAACACTGGTATGTAAACAAGCCCAGGATTTAGGTGAACTGCTTTCACCGTTGCAGAGCTCCCTGCAAATAGTTTTAGGATTCTGCCCAGAAAATTTCTGTCTGTCTTTGATTCTACATATTCCACAGGGAATATTCTACAGAATATTCCACAGGGAACAGAAAGTACTGGGTAATCCTGCAGGCTAAGAAAGACTGACCAAGTTCTCTTTCAGATTTCCTTTCCTTTGCCCAGGAAATAAAATAAGAACGAGCACCAAAGTTCCACCAATAGCCATACTACTACAAAGGCTGACATCACGCTGTAATTTTTAATGACACTATATTAAGTCTTAAACAATGCTTTAAAATCTTTACTTACCAGCAAGCTATAATCAAGAAGATCATATTGATACAATCTGACACCAGGGTTATTGGACTCCATTTGCCATACATTCTTCACTGGGGTTACAGCAGGTGCCACAAACAAGGAATTCACTGGCTTTTCTGCAGGAAGAGGGAAGATGAGGAAACAGTTTCCTTTCAATCATTTCTTCCTCAAACAAATGTTTTTGTAAAGAACCAACAAAGCAAGAACGAGAGTGAGCGGCTTAGGTACCTTTGCATTTTTTTTTCCCTGGATTAGCTACATCACTGTGAACTCCTTCTATACTTCCACCGGATAAACCAAAATCTGTGTAAAATACCACAAAACACATTCCAGTGTGTACCAGCTCAGTTTGTCTATACTAGACCCTTCCCACCAATTCAGCTACCTCTGCAAAATGGTCTTGCCTATACCTAAGGTCTCTGTATTTTGCATATTTCTACTGAAGAAATATTCAGAACTTTCAGTTGCTGTCTCCATGTTATATTTTACATGTTGCTTTAGGTATTTTTTGCTTTATGGATTTATGATGTTATTAGAAACACTGGGGTATCATCACCTGACCCTGACTTCACTCATCTAGACTAGGCAAGCACCCAGTATGTGAACCCAATCTTTACAGCAACTGAAACATGAGGATGTACACGGGTTTTAATTAGACAGAATATGCAGGTAACTATATTTAGAGGTTCTCTGTGGAACAAAAAAGCATGCCTAACTATTCCTTTCTGTGACAACATCACAGCAGTAACATCACAAGGTCAGTCACCACATATGAGCAGAAGCTTTGAAAGCTTGGAAATCAGTAGATTCTTTTGGAGAAGATAAAACTGAGCTCTGTATCTCAGTACACCGATGTTGGCTACAATATTAGATTTATCTTGCATTCTCTGGCATTTTGTCAAGAGGAAAATGGCATGAACAGAAGACAGTCTAAAACTGTACAGATAAACACAAACTGTATTTAACTACATGCAATTTCACTGTTTAAATTTTTGTCAAAAGATGTAAAATTATTAAAATACTTTGGAAGTAGTTACTTGCACATGCAAACTGTAAAAACAAGGGACCAAGATCAGTCTGTCCTCAGCGAAATCTGCGGTAGATGTGATGACTTCATGCACGAATGGGACAAGGTACCAAGATACATAGGTATAAGACTGCCTTGAATATAACTTAAAAAAATGTTAAAAGCCAGTTCTTTGACTGGGGCTGGATTCCTTTTTACTGGAGATTAATTCCATTATAATGCCATGTAAAAAGGTAAATGATTTAAAATACTGTTATCCCAGTCAGCATTTTGGGCATTGTTTTTATGAGTTCATATAAAACACAGACAAAGAGCCAATTAATATTTGGGCTTTTTACATAAACCAAAGCAATAGATCTCTCATTGTTCAATGGAACAGACACAAATGCTTAACCAGTTACTTGTTAGACCTATCTTCTGTCAGAGATGTTAAGAGTGCTCCATACGGCCATGCCCATGCATAAAACTAAGGGATTTCAAAGCATTAAACATTATTTTCAAACCTGGGTGCTTTTCTTGAAGGGAAATTAGCTGATCTGAGAGATGCAACAGGCAGAGACTTTCTTTCCCCTGCCTCCTGCTTACCCTTATCTTAATTAACTTTGAAGCAGCAGGGAACTCAGCAGAGAGGCACAGTAATGATGCAGGAAACACAAGAACATAGAGCATGTCTAGTTGGCCTGAGAACATTCCCTTTGACACATTACACAATAGCAACTGGCTAGTATAATTTGCCCGTGTCACTGAGAGAGTGGAGAGGAAAGACTAGAAATTCTTGTCTAGGCATAATCATTAATTTAAAAAAAAACAGGAAGCTTGGGGAGTCTCTTCTGACTTCAACATAAAAAGACAGTCTGCCTTGCAAGGCTCTCTCCAAGAAAAAATTGAGAGTGTGTGAGGCTTTAACTCTTGTAGATAAATAGCAGTTTTTCCGAATTTCCTAATTTATAGCAGAGGGTGATTAGTAAGAAAATGCAAGAAAGTATTAATTTGCTTTTAATCAAGAAGAAAAAGATGAAGGATTCAATGAGCATTATTACCTTCTTCATCCAGGAGGACCATGATACTATCCCTATGTGTATGTCCAAAAAACTGCCCCGCAATAACGCTACTGTATTTGCGAAAAATCTTTACCAGTCTCTCATTGTAATGCTCCCTGATAGCTGTAGTATTCCTTGCAAATGGCAAGTATCCTATCGGTACATGTCCTATTATATATACCTAAGGAATGAGATACAGAAAGCACAATTAGCACCTTCATTTGAAACTTATACTTTTAGCTGTGACTTAGAGATGGTTACCACAATTTCATAATGATGCTATCTCAGAAATGGCATTCTGAAAACTATAAATCACAACGGTTTTGTTATACAAAATACAAACAGTAAGAATGTTTACATTCATAATGAGAAAAAATAAACAGATTTTTTTAGTGAATTCAGTATATTCTTAGGAAAAAAGTTCTGATAAATCTATGTGTGATTTTAGGCCAAAGGAAAATTTGATCAATTATTTCAAATGAAAGAATAAGTTACTAGGGCAATCCTTATGATTTGGCATCTCAAGGGCATAGTAAGAAAAACTTATGTTAGAATATTACAGAGCCTGCATGGTCAGAGTCACCAGAAACATGGAAGCACTGGTTAAAACCCCCCTGTTGGAGGTCAAGACTTGGTTCCAACTGCACACACCAACTAATACGCTGCAGAGTTTTATGAGGAAGGGAAATCTCTCTTTCTCCCAACTGTAATATAATATTCTTAAAATTACAACACCACAGCAAAATGTAAACATGTTTCAAATTAAACACTTTTTCTGGTCAGATGATGATCCAATCCTCACACCAATCAATCAAACATGAGCCAACAATTTACAACCTCACTTCAAAATGTCAGTATTATAAGACAATTCATTGTAATGCAATTGCTGCAGCTTGGCTAAGTTTTGTCGTTGACAAACTCCTTTCTAATTTCTATTTTTGATACTTGTGATTACATAAAAATGAAAATGAAATATGCTAGCTTTTGTTGCAGGCCAAGGGTGCACATTTTAAAATTAAAGGCTATGAGTAAAAAGAGTCAGAAACAAAAGTGAAAGTATTAAGTATTCTCATCCCGGCTTCTATAGTATTCTACATAATAGGAAAGAAAAGGTATTTGACTGCTCAACTATTTTATTAATTGTTGTAGTATAAAGTGCATATTCAAGGAAGAATTATTAAAAAAAATAAATTTTGATATTGCAGTATCTTTGGCAGCATTAATATTCTTCTAGAATCATGTTTATATTTTCATTGTCTCTACTACTTCTTTATTTTTTTCTTTTCAAAGTTTAAACAAATAATGCTGATGGGTTCTGTGCACAGCCCCTACCTTTTCCCTCTTTTGTGAAGCGGTTTCTAGTATTCCCTCCAGCCAGGCAAACTGGTTGGCTGGGTCAGTGATATTCACAGTTACGCTGTTGGGGCTGTAATATAAATTTGTGTTCAGGCTGATTATCCTGAGCAGTTGAGAGCTATCACTGGATTCAAACAGCTGTGTGTAGAAGCCACCTGTGAAAATAAGACCAATATCATCTGAAAAATGAAAGGCTTCAAAGCATGACTTCAGAATGAAAGCACAGCACTGACAAAATACCCAGCCTTACTCTTTCTAATAAAATAGAATATGGCATGTTTATTCAAGCCATGCATCACCTTATCACAACAGAACATCTTAAGAATCTGTTCTCAGCAAGATTTTAGTAGGAGAAGTTGACACTGAATCTTTTATGAATTCTTGCCTGTAATTGCCTTTGTGTTTATTTGACAGTTTTCAGACACAATTATCCAACTGACACGAAGAAGCACCCTGTAACATTTCTTCCACACTGAGAGATGCAGTAATTGTTAAAAAGTCCACATTTCTTGAAATACTGCAAACATATAGGTTCCTCCAAGAAGAACTATTTGAGTTTAGTAGCCTTGTACTTTGAAAGTCATTTAACCTCAAACTGGAACATGATGAAGAGTAAAGCTCATGTTTTTCAAGCCAAGCTCCTGAAAGTCTCCACGGCATACACAGTTTCTTCAATGAGTGCAATTTCATAGTTCATGGACTTCAACAGAGCCATGGCAACAGAGCTATAATTATATACCTTAACTTAAGGTCTGCCCCTTTGAGTTTTATTTTTCCCGTTAAAGTTTCTACTTCCACTCTTACCCAGAGTTCTTTCTCATTCAGGACACAAAAATACAAATTAAACTTCCAAAGCCCTAATGTTTGAGTGGATTGGAAAATTGGGTTAAACTTTTCAGTCCTTTGCTAAAAAGAAAAATCATAATTAGGATATCAATAATCTCCCAGTTTATTAAGTTGGACACAAATATGATGAAATTAGCAGTATAATCACCAAGACTATGTGTTATCATAGCTTGAGCAAATATGTGCTTATTCAATATGCTCTGAAATACATATAGTATCAAAACAGAAACAGCATTTAATCAATTCTTATGATCAAATTTAAGTCTTTTTGTGCATCATACGCCTTTATCTAAAAAGTATTATGAAGTCTTTAAGGCAGTAAGATATTTCACATGCATTGGTACAAAGCCAATAATATTGTACATGTTACAAGAAACAATAATTATTGCATCAGAATAGAATAAATGTACCCCAAAGATAAGCATTGCTATTCAAAAAGACAAGTAACTTCTTCCAGGAGGAGCATTAGTAGACAATCTATTGTGCTGATTCATCCTACAAGACTTAGCTAAACAAACGGGACTTAGCTAAACAAATGAGACAGATCTATAGAAACATTAACTCTCTAAGCCTTACCTTTACAATGCATTACTGGCTTATTTTACCTTTTCGGAAAGTATTGATTGCTTCATCAGTTAGCCAAGGTTTCCAGAAATCTGCTACAGCATTGTAAACTTCACTGGTAGTTACAGGAAGCTGATCCTGTGAGAGAGCAGAATCTGCCTAAGTCTTAGCACTTGGACACACAGACAAAAAAAATCACTGAATTATCCCACCTGACCTCTCGCATAACACATAAGTGAATCCAGTCATCAGCAGGAGGAACTCAAGAAAGGAAGAAAACTTCCAAACATCCAGTATTGATGATCAGGAACAAACGCCTGAACTTAGAACTGACTGTATGGCCTTGTTAATGCATTGATAAAGTAATGCCAGAAATATTTCAGGCCTTGGGAGCACAGTAGACAGGAAAACAATACATTCTGCAAAATTAATAAACTGAAGATTCAAAGTCTAAAAATAAAGCCTCTTGGAGGAAAAGCTTGAACATAAGCTTCTTTTACGTAAGATGAATTTTTCAAGCGACCTGGGGTACATACCAGCTCCCCAAAAACTCCACTATGGCCCTCAGAAACATTCTGGTGAAATTCACAAATATTTCCACGCTATCCTGTAGTTCTAGTAACAAGGCATTTAAAACATAAAAGAAAACTTTTGCCAGTGTTTTCTCCCACCGGCTCTAATTAGGACTGTAGCACTCTTCAGTCTGAGCCAAGCAATGCTCAAACGCCGCAGTCTGGTACGAGCCATGCTCTCATCTAACCCTGCCAGGAAGATCCCAGCCTGTCCTTGCCTGTCCTAAAATATGTGCGTGGATTCTTGCTGCCAGAAGAAAAAACAGAGGTTGAAAAATAGGAACAGTATTACAGTGCATGTTTTCTTAAACATTAAATTTGACCTTTCTAAGATCTTTGAAACTAAACCTACATTATTAGAGGCTTAGGCGCTAAGTCTCTGTCTAGGAGCAGTGCAATCAGAAGTCTGTTCCGACTTTTGTTGCTTGCAGTGCACAGATACCAGCTATTAAGAAAGCTTTGAGCCATACGAGTTCAGCCAGAGCTAACAGTCACTAACAGACATAGCAAAACCTGATCTCAGATAAGCGGCCTGAAGGTGGTTTGGCCCCAGGCAAGTCTGTGCTCTGTGAACTTGGGGATTACACAGCAGTTCAGCAATTTGTTTTAAGCAGGGGCAAGGATGTGAAACAAGTAAGACTATGCAGAAAGATGGAGGGCACTATATATGATCTGAAAGGTACCCTAATGCTCAATTAACCCGAGTAGTATTTTTAACAGGCTGTGCAAGAAAAACTACCCAAGACCATTACATTGCTAAGACGGACAGGTCAGAACACAACAAAGAGCAGTAAAATTCTTTGGCGTGGGGTGAGTGCGCAGCTTTCACACTTGCTCTGCAACAGCTTGCAGCTTGTGGCTTGCTCCACATCGCTTCCAGTCTATGGGACATTTGCCAAGTATGTCCATATGAAAAACAGAATTGGCATCAACAGCAAAAAAAAAAATAAATCCAACAACCTGAAATGACCCCATAGTGGGGAATTTCTGAACCCACGGTCTTTCTCAAACAGTAACAGAGAAGTATGTCAGTTCTGCGCATTGGTGAAGCCTGCCATTTCAAAGCAAAGTATCACAGAAATACTCCTGTGTGGTTTTGTGCAGAGAGAACTACAACAGTTACTCCAATCAGCAGCCCTGCTTCAACATACTATTTGCTGCCCATTTGCCCCTCCTGAACACCTTTTTTCTATCTTCAAATTTAATTTCACAAACAAAACTCCTATTTGCTGGAAAAGCCACTACATTCTTTGTCTACAAGGTTACTGTATACAGTTTTTTTCTTCTATATCAAAGGAGACTGCCAAACAACAACTATTCTCTGTTAAGACTTTTTAAAAAAAAACAAAATAGAATTAAAACAAAATACTGAGCGAGACTTCACTTAAGGTGTTATTTACCAAAATACTTTACCAGTGGTTTCTGGTAAACCAGCCTGGCCCCCTGTCAGTGCATATGACAAGCTGAAGCTATATCACCAGAGCAGGAACACAAGAGACTGAAGTCCCAGCCTGGTTTGTTCACTCACATTTCCAAGATGTGTTCAGCTCTTATTTTGCCTCTCACATTTCCCTTTCCCCTCTCTGAGCACCTCTGTTCCTCCCTGATTTGGGAATCACTAACTCCAGCAATGGTGCAGGCAATGATACAATCACCTACTACACCAAGATACACCCTGATAGGCCTAATGAGTAACACAGACAGCTGGAATAAAAGCCTTTCGGGGTGCGAAGGGGTGCTACTGAATTCCCATTAGGCATTTCAAACAAAATATTTTAGTTGACCTGCTCCACATCCCTTCCGATCTCCTCAGATCCAATGACAGAATTTGCTTCTCAGTCCTGTGTGCTGCCAGATCAACCTGCAATACACTTTAAAGGACACCAGAAGCAACTGTTTACTTCTGAGCTGCGCCAAGAACAATACGTGCAGAACACTGAAAGTAAAAAAGCACTGTCCTCAGCTGCAATGGCCCACATACCCAGTAAATCATCAATGCAAATATTTCTAAGTATCCAACAAGGAAAGGAAAAAAAAAAAAGAGAACCATATTTTTAATACTGGCAAAACTATGGGAACATTACAAAAATTCTGCCATTGGTCTGATTAAAAAAATTCAGTGATGTCAGCAGACAGATTTCCAGTCGGCCTTTCAGTAGGCCTTGAATCTTACCACAGGCTCACAGATCCATTTCGGATGTCATTTCTGTTAGATTAAGTTATTGTACACACAGGCATGACTGACACAGCAAGAAAAAAATAAGTGTGTATTAACTATGATGAGACTTGGTGGTTCTAAGCCATGAGGAACTATTAGCAGTAAATTTGCATGACCTCAGGCAACATACCTACTTTACCTGTCATCAGCCTTTGCTTGGGTAACACCACAGAGAAAGATGTACTTTCTGTTCCTGACTGAAACACTTTATAATTTTAAATGCTAATTGGAAAATTGTAGAATACTGTTTCCAGAATAATAGTTACACAAATTTAACTCTTATTTTTCACACCTGCTTTCTGAGCTGTTAGTAACACACTCAATATGATACATAAATAAATTTCTAACTTGTTTTACCTGTGGCCAGTAGTCATGATTGCCCAAGGCTGGGAAAACCTGAAGATCTGGAAAGAAATTACGAATTGTAGAACTCATATTGCCAATGATGCTAATGACCAACTTTGTGGAGAGTTCTTTTACAGGAACATGAGGAGGGCTATCTCTGAAAAAGGAAAAGACTATTAACAAAGGTTTATTAGCAACATAAGCAAAGGCAAAAAATTCTGCGAACACATCTACATTCTAGCATGTAATACTACTATGGACTCTCTAATTAAAATCATAGAATTGCCTGAAAGGCTCTCTGCAAAGGCTTTTTGTTTTTAAAAAAACCCAAATGGACTAATGTTTATTCTGTGATTCACATTTATCATAACTAAGATTTCTTGGAAATTAAATTAATTCAACTCCATCATTTTGAGCTACTGTGCAGTTTGGGTTATGTATCTTCTGTCATCTGCACAACCTTGTAAGTTTATGTTGTGGTTTAACCCCAGCCACCAACGAAGCACCACACAGCTGCTCATTCACTCCTCTTCTCCCCCAGTGGGATGGGGAGGAAGATCAGAACAAAGGTAAAATCCATGGGCTGAGGTAAGAACAGTTTAATAATTGAAATAAAATAAAGTGTAACAACAATAACAACAATAATGATAATAATAGTAATGAAAAGGGAGGTACCAAAAAGAGAGAGAGAAATAAAACCCAAGACAGACAAGTGATGCACAACACAACTGCTCACCACCTGCTGACCAATGCCCAGCCCATCCCCAAGGAGCGATCGGCACTCCTCTGCCCAGCTCCCCCAGTTCCTATACTGGCCATGACGCTCTACGGTATGGAATATCCCTTGGGCTGGTTGGGGTCAGCTCTCCTGGCCGTGCTCCCTCCCAGCTCCTTGTGCCCCTCCTCGCTGGCAGAGCATGGGAACTGAAAAGTCCTTGACTTAGGGCAAGCACTACTTAGCAACAACTAAAACATCCCTGTGTTACCAACAGTATTCTCATACTAAATCCAAAACACAGCACTGTACCAGCTACTAGGAAGAAAACTAACTCTATCCCAGCCAAAACCAGGACAGTATATTTTTTCCATTTTAACAACATCCTGTTGAAAAGGAAGTAGAATAATGTTAAGTGAAATAAATTAATCACTTGTCTTTACATATTCCTATTTCTTATCACCCTTCCTCCAGCAAAATTAAATGACATATATAACCTTTCCAACAAAAAAGGCCCTGTCATTGATACACTAGTTCTCACCAATACTGAAAGATACTAATCTCTGACAAATTATCCATTGATGTATATCATAAGAAATTACCTGGTGGTAGAATGGAGCATTTTGCTATGGTAGAATAATGCTATCTTTTATGAATACTATAGAAGGTAACAGGACATGGTACTGTCGAGCTACTCATGTCTCCCTTTCACACTTTTTTCTCCAGTCCCACTGCTAAGGCACACAGAGCCTCACAGGTAACACCTGTGTGAGAGAGAGTATTTTCTAATTTTCTAGTCATTTTCTAATAAGGAAGATCAGTACAGAAAAGGTAAATGTTTTACTCAACAGGGGACTGCACACATCCGAAATACTGCAATGAGGAACTGGGAAACCACACTTCGTGTAGGAGCACATGCAGCTATGAGTGATAATAATGAACAGAGAGACAGCATCTACAACATCATTATCCTCCCCGCACCAGCCTCCCGATCTAGAATTCATACAGGCATCGAACCTAAATGATAACTTTATACACTCTAAAAAAAAAAATAGATAAGCTATACTATTGCTTCATTCTAGTTACCTCTTACAGAAGCAAATAAAATGTAGTTAAAGGGTATCTTCTAAAAAGGGATGCACTTTAGATTTAATGACCTTAAGACCTACAAAATCCAATACCTCCCATGGTAATATATTCAAGTCAGTTATTCCTCTGACCTTTCTTTTTGCTTTTCCCACTTCCCACCCTCCCCCCTCCATTTCTATTAACTTACACTAATACAGTTATGTGCTAAACGTCCCAATGAACAGTCCAACAATATCCAGAAATTATTACAGAGATCAAAATCTGTTCCTGAGGACTTCTATTCTCAGTCTTTCACTTATCAGCTATTCGGACAACCTAAGGGAACTACTTAAAAGTAGCACTTCTGAGATACTAAATTCAGATCTGTTGGTGCAAATATAAACTTGTAAATTACTGCATTATATGGTCATCCAGCTGTTAAAAGCTTTAACTGCAGAGTGACTTGAACACTTACCCCGTCCAAATCATGAATGAAACCTGCTGTTTTGAATCCTTCATGAATGCAAACGCTGACAAAATAAGTTGATATGGAGAATCACACAAAAAGTCTCCAAAAGGGCCTGGGTTGGAGGCATTGGCTCCTTTGGAAGAAGAACAAACTTTGGTGCGATCAGGGGTAATGTGGTAAGTCGGATCTAAATGTAGGTCAGATACATGCCAGAACTGCCCTGTTTTCAGAAAACAAAGATTAAAGAAAATGCATTATTTGCATTTCAACTGGATATAGCTGGGTAATGCCAAGTTTGCTCCAGTTTGTCTACTGCTATTCCTGTTTCAAGTTTTGAAAAGGAGAATCAATTTAACAAATTGTTGATTAGCCCGTCTGGTAGGTGTGGGCAAGTTCTGCATTCCTGACAAGGGTCCTTCACACAGACTACTTAGAAAAACTGAAAACAGAAGCAGAAGCTTAGGTTTAAGGTATTCAGCAGGGAAAAAAATGGAGGTTGGTAGGGACTGGAAAATTAGCTCCTTTTCATTAATAGCAGTCTGGAAACTGGAGAGTAGAGGAGGCGATAGAAGGACTTGTCCACTCCACCTGAAAAGAGAGGGAGTTGCATTTTAATTATTTTTCCAGACCTTCCCTGGCCGGAAGCAACTGTGATCTTTTGATCTTTTGATCACAGTCCAGAAGGAAAGGTAAGAAATAGTATGTGTGCAAAAATGTTAAAGCTCTTCTCCTCAGCAGCTGCAGGGCAAGGAGCCTGGGCTTCTCCCCAGGGAGGTATGTCAGCCTTTCCTACTCACTGCTTTCCAGGCTGACAACATTCTCAGCCACTGCTCCTTAGCACTGCATCGATAAAGGAGCTCAGAAGTGTAGGAGTACGGTGAACAAGATGAATTAAGCTTGTGTTAGACTACCAGCCTTCAAGTTTCATGTAAAATACGAGTAATTTCTTCCTGTCAGTTTCGAAGCACTTAGAAAAGGCCGGCATGTATGGAGGTAGTGGTTGTGAAACCAGGACAGATTTTTTCCTAAGGTCACATGCTCAGTCTGTGGCAGAGCAGGCACCACGCGAGCGCACTCCATGGAGTTTTATTTCAGGAAGCAAAGACCAGCAGCGCTCTTCAAAACCTGTAAAACTGTGACTCCTACCAACAGGAGACAGAGAAAAGCCTGCACACCGCGGCGTGTTTGGTCCGAGGCAACAGTGAGTCACAGGGAATGAAAATCCTGTGGAAACCATTTCGGAGCACTCTCCTGCGTACGCTACCGTACGGCAGACCAGGCCAGGCAGAACACGCGTGTGTTTGCTGGCAGCACAGAAACCAAATTTAACGTGTGCAGTGCGTGCCTCAGACAGCGCACCAGAGGCGAGGCAGGGCAGGGCTCACCTTATGTGCCAGCCTACCCTGCCTAACCAAATATAAACCCCATGTAACCCCCTATACCTGAATAGCGATGTGTTTACTTCTCTAAAAGTCAAATGAAGTTGAAGCCAGCTGGGACAGGGAATACCCCTGCGGCAGTCCATGTGCGGGCAACAGTGAGAAGGGGAGGGAAAGAAGGTGCAAGAGGGGAGCACGTCCCCCGGGCCTCCCCCGCCCTGGCGGCACGGCGGGGCGGGCGGCG